AATATCTAAGTTTTCTTAGCTTTAAACCAAAAGAAATTTAACTCAAAAATCCAGCTGTTTTACAAAAATTATACAGTCATGTATCTTTATAACCAAGTTGATTTGTAAAGGCAAAAAAATCAAAAATGTGCAGATAGTGAAAACAATTACAGGGTATGCGATATATGGTATAGGTCTAATTGGCAACTAATTAAGTTGCCATAGCACCTAAAAATTATGATTGGTGCCTAAAATTTTTCTAGAATTCGCCAAATTGGCGACCATTTTAAATTGGCTTGGTGATCATCAAATTACTGAACTATAAACATTTTCAATTTTTTTTTTTTAGAAAGAGCCGAAAAGAAGCAATGGACATGTCTCTAATATTGACTAATATCAGTTTTTAGATTGGTGCCTAAGAAAAATTTACCTGGCGGCTAAAAATTTGCATTGGTGACTAAAATTTTTTTTTCATAAAAAAGCCAGTTGGTGCCTAAATTTTAGAGATCACATAGAGGCCTGTGGTAGAGTCAACATATTTAGTGCATGTTTATCAATTTACCAGTCGCCACGTGGCATAGAGTATAGAGCTTTTTGCTCCAGAGTTGCAAAGTAAGGAGTTGATCCTTACTTCAAGGGTTTTAATCCCATTGTGGGACCTGAAAACCGGTCCTTTGGATGAAACCGTATAAAGCAGGTCCTTTGTTGCAGTAGGTGTTTGCACAAAATATCCCTTACTGCTAATATAAATGGCCATAAGTGCTGAGTTCAGGTCTAATTTTGCAGCCCTCCACAGGGAAGTGGTGGCTTCTTAACATGAGTAAAAAATTCTCGAAGGGACGTTAAATAATTAGTAAAAAGTCTTTTTACCAAGGAGAGAAATCAATTGTTAATAAATAGAACATCATGTTTGACATAAACAGAATAAAATATGAAATCTAATTCAATTTGAGCAAATATTTTTCAAATCTAAGAATTGTCGAAACTTCCTGAGGTATTGATTATTTTTAACTCTTTGAATGAATGGGATGTTTGAAATTCTTTTGAATCTTGACTTATTTTAAATGCATTATATAAGACTTATAAACTATGTCTCAAAGAGCAGCAGTGTTTGGTTTATGTGACTACATAGGTAGTGCATATAGTCAGTGACAATTACTCCTATAAGAGGCTATCAAGTCATTTCCTCTGAGGCATGGAGATCAAAGTCACCTGCATGGTGCAATGGTTAGAGCATTTGCTTTAGAGTCGAGGAGTTTGTTTGTTTATTTTTATGTTGTTTAACGTCCCTCTCGAGAATTTTTCACTCATATGGAGACGCCACCACTTGCCAGTGGAGAGCTGCAAATTTTGTCCTATGCTCGGCACTTATGGCCATTGAGCAGTGAGGGATCTTTTTCGTGCCAGCACCTTCTGCGACACGAGACCTCGGTTTATACGGTCTCATCCGAAGGACCGGATTCCATGTCCCACAGTGGGATTCGAACCCGCGACGTAAGGATCAACTCCTTACTCCGCGACTCTAGAGCAGACGCTCTAACCACTGCGCCATGCGGGCGACGAGTCGAGGAGCAAGATGATCCTTACATTGTGGATTCAAATCCCATAGCAGAACGTGGGGACCGATCTTTGGAGGAGACCTTATAAAATGAGGTCCTGTGTCGCAGTAAGTGCTGGCATGAAAAAGATCCCTCACTGCTCAAAAGCCATAAGTACTGAGTACAGTTTTAAATTTGCAGCCCTCCACCGGCAAGTGGTGGCTTTTTAATATGAGTGAAAAATTCTCAAAGGAACGTGAAACAAACATGGAGATCAGTTTTGTGTTTTGAAGATGAAAGGTAAGGAACACTAAATGAATTGAAGTGTGCAAAAGTATTCATACTAATCTCGAGTTTTACAACAACAAATATAAACAAAATCCATTACCTTAATATTCCATTTATAAGTTTCTGAAAGTTTGTTAAGTTATAAATACTGAGTACGGTTGGTCTTGTTTTCTTGATCACCACTGCTTTTCAGACCCATAAAACTTAACCATGATTTTCCAAAAGAAAAGAATATTTTTTTTTAAATTTTGCTTTTCCATAAATTAAAGATTTGCATGCATGCTACTTTTTGAACAAGTTAATCTACTGCTCCATTTCTGAAAACTATGTCAAAGGAACTATACATTGTTTTCGATTCCAAATAAAAAGTCTCTACAATGAAAAAGTGAGGAATCTAAGATTGTCATGTGAAGATAAATGATCGAAATTTTAGTTTCCCTTTTCAGTAATTTTGGCTCTTCCCTCTGTAAATTCTAAATTTACAAACTGCCATTTTTAATAATCCTAACTTAATTCGTGTGAATTAAGTTAACCAGTGCCACGTATCATTGCTTGTACAAGTGTTTTGTCATTTTAAAAAAAAAATCTTTAAAGGGGGGAGGGGTTATTATAAGCAAGCGTTTTGTCAACAAGTTAATGTCACTTAAAAACCTGAAAGGCTCATAGAAATGAACATGGTATTAAATGGCATGAAATTGACACCCCAAGGAAAACCATTGTCAACCGACGCGTCAGCGGAGGTTGACAATGGTTTTCCGAGGGGTGTCAATTTCAACTGTTACCCTCAAAAACGTGCACTATTTATTTTATTATACTGAATGTCTTATTGATTTCGGATGTCATAAAAAAAATTCGGAGATCGTCGTTAAGTTCACGCTTAGAAAGCTTTCAAACTCCCTGCTTCTATCTTTCTCAATAAGAAAGCTTCGGAAAAGATTTACCAACCTCTCTATTGTTTGTTTGCTACTCAAAAAGTCCTTTATCATCTAAAGTTTGCACTCGCAAGGATGTTTCGTCTGTCATTTGTTGTTTTCAAGTAAGCTACATCGGACGCAAGCTTTTATTGACGTCATTTATTCGGCTTCTTTCAAACGCACAACCGACGTTTTGAGAATTCTATGGTGAACCGTACGCGCATGATTTGAACGCATGTGATATTTTCGTAATGTTACCCGTTGTCAAGTGTGTTGCTAACGCTGAGGGTAATATTACGGATTGTTAAATGCTTCTAAACCAATCAGATTTTAGTATTTAACATGAAAGTATAATAAAAACATATGTTTTCCATACTTATCATTTCCCCTTCTTCATTGACAGTTTTTCCTCAATTACACGTTTTTAAGTAGTCAAATGAGATCTATCATTTATCTGTTTATGTCTTTTCCTATTAATGTTCGTGTATGTCCTATCTGTTTACATCTACATGTAAGTACAGATACTAGCATTAAAATTCTTTGTTAAATGTCTTTTTTATGTAAAATTATTTATTTTTCATTAATGAAAACAACGTTTAGTAAATATACTGTGAATACTTACATATTGAGACGTAAAAGTCAAGACCTTTCATCATTTCCGCCATTCCGATGCGCATGCATCGGTGCGCATCGGAAATATCCTGTTTGGATGCGCGCGCATCAGCGCGCGTCTAAAATATCAAATGTGTGTTATGGCAGACGATAAAAGTGTGTGATGGTGTAACACAATTTCACATCTTACTATTCTTCTGAGGACTTTCACCAAATTTCACCACGTGATGTAGTTCGATATTTTGTGACGATACAAGCAATTTTTTTCCGAGGACGTGGAAAAAGTCCTCGGAAGAAATTTACGTCCTCGGAGTAAAGGTGTTTTTTCACACCATAGTCCTCGGGAGATCGGTGAAACCAACACACCCTCACACACACACACACACACACACACACACACACACACACACACACACACACAGGCACTTGGAGTATGGAAACCACCCCTTCCTTTTTCCATTTTTCTTTTCTTTTAAATCTGGGATCAAGAAGAGCTTTCTTTTTATGTATCAGCCGAAAACGATATATATATATATATATATATATATATATATATATATATATATATATATATATATATATATATATATATATATATATATATGAAAAATATTCAAACATATAAAAACACAGAGAACGAGTAAAACATAAGCGCTTTCATTTCTTCTTCATGATGTTTTACAATATACTCATGGTAACGTTTATTGTGACGTCATAATAACTTAACGTTAACAAGTCTCTGATTGACGTCATATTTTTCCCGTACTTTTGGCAAAATAATACAATAACAAAGAAATAAATAAATGTGACTCAGTAAAATACTCTACATGTATAAAATACAATTCTTTTACATTAAACTATTTAATTTAGGTTTGAAAGTCCTTATAAAATGTTTTTCTTTATCTCGTCTTTCAATTGTATTCGAGTTATACAATTTATAAAATGGAAAGACAATGAAAGTTTTATTTCCGCATAAGTCTAGGTGTTCACTGACTTTAAGTTTACGGTATTCCGGCACATTAATTTGTTGTTTATGGACTCGGATCCTTTCCCGCAAGGTACTTCCCGTCTCTCCGATATATAATTCACCGCAACCAGAACATGTTATAACGTATATGACGTTTCTAGTTTGGCATGACATGTTATTATTAACTGTGAACTGTTTTCCGCTAAAATTAAAATGTTGTCCTTGTTGTATGTGTGGACAGGTACCACAACGCGGATCCTGGCATTTGGTCACATGAAATTCTGTCGTTTCTTTAAAAGAGGACTTAGTGAGAATTCGTCTAAGATTCTTCGGCTGCCTCCTACTGTTTATGAACTTTCGATTTTTAAATATTTTAGACGTAGTTTCATCGGTCTTTAAAACGTCGCTTAGGTGATAAACAACTGGTGCAACGTTTTTATTTTGGGGATTATGTGTCGTTATTAATGGTAGGATCTTGGAATTTGTCCTGTTTTGTTGCACAGGGTTGAGGAGGTCCTTTCTGTTTAATTCTGTGGCTTTTTTAATAGCATCATCAATAATTTTGTCTGGATAGCTTTGCTTCCGTAGATATTCTTTAAGTTCTTGTAGTCTTTGTATTCTGATTGATTCATCATTAACGATGGTGCATATTCTCCTAGCTAAATTATAAGGTATACCTCCTTTCGTATGTCGTGGATGGCACTAATTAAAATGAAGATACTGGTGCATATCTGTAGGTTTGTAATAGATATCTGTCAAAATGAAGTCGTTTTCCTTAATTAACAAAATATCCAGAAATGGAATTCTATCCGTACTTTCTTCCGCTGTAAATCTTATATCAGGATTAAGTTCGTTCAGTAATGTTTTAAAGGTAGATAATTCGTTGTCGCTGAATTTCCATACAATAAAACAATCGTCCAGATATCTTTTCCAGTAATTAGAAATATAATTTTTTACCTCTTCGTTGAATTGTTCTCCCACTTTTTGATACATTTTCTCTTCTAAATATCCTAATGTTAAGGTGGCATATGTCGGAGCCATTTTTGTGCCCATAGCCGTTCCTTTTATTTGTTTAAAATGTTTTCCATTAAACGTGAAAGTATTATTTGTCAGCACTATTTCTGTTGCTTCCAAAATAAAGTCTCTTGAAAATCTGCCGTTAATTTTTTCAGGATCCTTACTGATCCAGTATTCCACGGCTTCAAGTCCCAGGCAACTTGATATATTACTGTACAAGTTTATGACATCCAACGTAACGAGCTTGCTGTTTATATCAACTTTCTCTGGTAAATGGCGGAGAAAATCGAAGTCATCTTGTACATAATTTTTGGCTCCAGAACATAATGATTTTAGAAGAATGTCTAGTAGATTGCTAAGTCTTTGCGTTGGTGCTGATGGTCCTCCTACTATTGGTCGGAAAGTGAGATCGTCTGGATAAGGACAAGTTATGTATTCCGAGCATTGGGATTTGATGGCCTCTTTTATTTTTCTAGATTTATGAATCATTGGCAGTCCATAAAAATTGCTTTCACTATATTCATAATCAATTAAGAAGTCTTCTTCTTTTTCTGTTAAACTCGATGATGTTTTATGACGTTTTAAAAGATTCTTAATTTTCTGCATTGTTTTTCTATCGCTGTTGTTTGGTATTTCTTCGTAGTACTCGGCGTTCGATAGCATATTCATTATATGAGTTTAATAAAACTAAGAATCCATGATTACAACAGCGCCACCCTTGTCCGCTTCTTTTATTACAATGGATTCGTCATTCGACAATGATTTAAGTGCATTCTTCTCTTCTATTGTAAGATTGCATTTTATTTTGCGGTTTTCGTTATTATTCAGAGGCAAATTATTTAATGTCTCACAAACAACATCTAAAATTTCGTTTTGTCCTTTTTTAGGATTAAAGTTAGATTTGTTGCGTACAAGATCCTCTTCCTCCTCTGAATCTGAGTCACTCTCATTTTCTTTATAAAAATGTTCTGCTAACCTCAATTTTCTCGTATACTCTTAAATATCTGCCCTTAGTTCTTGATTGTTACTATGAGGTGTAGGGGTAAATTTTAAACCTTTGCATAACAGACGCACCTCCGAGTCACTTAAAGGTCTACTGGAAAGGTTGATTACTTTAGGGTCAATATTTTTTGTTGTGAGTATAGATTTCAAGTCTTGTTCTACACATACCAGTGCGTGTTCGCTGTGTGGCGTCCTTGGTCCCCGTACTTGATCCGCCGGTTCGGAACTATATTACTCAGTAATATATCAAGTTCCCTGGGACTTGAAGCCGTGGAATACTGGATCAGTAAGGATCCTTAAAAAATTAATGGCAGATTTTCAAGAGACTTTATTTTGGAAGGAACAGAAATAGTGCTGACAAATAATACTTTCACGTTTAATGGAAAACATTTTAAACAAATAAAAGGAACGGCTATGGGCACAAAAATGGCTCCGACATATGCCACCTTAACATTAGGATACTTAGAAGAGAAAATGTATCAAAAAATGGGAGAACAATTCAACCAAGAGGTAAAAAATAATATTACTAATTACTGGAAAAGATATCTGGACGATTGTTTTATTGTATGGAAATTCAGCGACAACGAATTATCTACCTTTAAAACATTACTGAACGAACTTAATCCTGATATAAGATTTACAGCGGAAGAAAGTACGGATAGATATTTTGTTAATTAAGGAAAACGACGTCATTTTGACAGATATCTATTACAAACCTACAGATACGCACCAGTATCTTCATTTTAATTAGTGCCATCCACGACATACGAAAAGAGGTATACCTTATAATTTAGCGAGGAGAATATGCACCATCGTTAATGATGAATCAATCAGAATACAAAGACTACAAGAACTTAAAGAATATCTACGGAAGCAAAGCTATCCAGACAAAATTATTGATGATGCTATTAAAAAAGCCACAGAATTAAACAGAAAGGACCTCCTCAACCCTGTGCAACAAAACAGGACAAATTCCAAGATCCTACCATTAATAACGACACATAATCCCCAAAATAAAAACGTTGCACCAGTTGTTTATCACCTAAGCGACGTTTTAAAGACCGATGAAACTACGTCTAAAATATTTAAAAATCGAAAGTTCATAAACAGTAGGAGACAGCCGAAGAATCTTAGACGAATTCTCACTAAGTCCTCTTTTAAAGAAACGACAGAATTTCATGTGACCAAATGCCAGGATCCGCGTTGTGGTACCTGTCCACACATACAACAAGGACAACATTTTAATTTTAGCGGAAAACAGTTCACAGTTAATAATAACATGTCATGCCAAACTAGAAACGTCATATACGTTATAACATGTTCTGGTTGCGGTGAATTATATATCGGAGAGACGGGAAGTACCTTGCGGGAAAGGATCCGAGTCCATAAACAACAAATTAATGTGCCGGAATACCGTAAACTTAAAGTCAGTGAACACCTAGACTTATGCGGAAATAAAACTTTCATTGTCTTTCCATTTTATAAATTGTATAACTCGAATACAATTGAAAGACGAGATAAAGAAAAACATTTTATAAGGACTTTCAAACCTAAATTAAATAGTTTAATGTAAAAGAATTGTATTTTATACATGTAGAGTATTTTACTGAGTCACATTTATTTCTTTGTTATTGTTTTATTATGCCAAAAGTACGGGAAAAATATGACGTCAATCAGAGACTTGTTAACGTTAAGTTATTATGACGTCACAATAAACGTTGCCATGAGTATATTGTAAAACATCATGAAGAAGAAATGAAAGCGCTTATGTTTTACTCGTTCTCTGTGTTTTTATATGTTTGAATATTTTTCATATTTATCACCGACCACTGTGATTTTTCTTGGATTTATATATATATATATATATATATATATATATATATATATATATATATATATATATATATATATATATATATATATATATATATATATATATATATAAGTGTGTGTGTGTGTGTGTGTGTGTGTGTGTGTGTGTGTGTGTGTGTGTGTGAGGGAGGGTGAGTGTGGGTGTGGGTGTGTGAGGGGGTGGTTGTGTGTGTGAGGGGGTGTGTTTGAGTGTATTTAAAAACAGCTTATAGAGACAAAAGGATTACATTATCGATAACATATAGTGCATATTAGAATACCAAAATAGGAAAGAGTTGACTTGATCCCAGATTAAAAAAAAAAAGGAAAAGTACCCAGAAAAGTAACCATGAAGTACCCTCAAGTACCTGTGGAGATAAAGACTAAAGCTTTATAAAATTGACCTGTAGTTACATTGTCCTGTGCCTTTTTCGCTCGAGGGCTAGACATTCACATTCACAGACCTCCATCCTCACCCCACCCAACACTGCCATATGCAGAAGAACTGTGTCTGAAAAATTTAACTTTTACGTAGTGCACATGAGAACAGGAACGTTGCACTGAATTCCTCTAAGTATTAAAGCACTATAAATTTTATAAATTTGAACTAGTCAGATCATAGTACTGTAAGTCATATAATTTAGATTGTCATGGATTTTTGAGGTATACACAAAATCACAATTGCATAATGCATGCACAGATTATCTTAAGTTTAAAATTAATTCTATTTTATATTCTATTTTATGTCATTCTGTGCAACACATTTCTTCATTTCTCCCGAATGACTTTTCTTTCTTCAAGTTATCCTTTCACTCATAAAAAAGTTTTGCTTTAATGATAATTTTCCAAACTAAAGAACTCTAATTTGAATTGCAAACAAGTAGTCATTCATCCCAGTGAGAGTACATGTATCTCTTTAATTGAAAAGTCACTGAGCTTAATCGCTCATGTAAGACTTAGTTATTTACGCCATTTAACTTTGAGTTATAGCGTTTTTACCCCCTCTTAGTTTGATCTTATTCCATAGGAGGATCTCGTTCCTCTCCCTGTTTGACACTTTCATTAATTTTTCCTTTTGTTTGTTTAACTTATATATATGCTCTCAATTTAGTTCCCAAATTGCTCTGGCACTTGGTCTAAGGGCTGACTCAAAAGGTTTCCCCAAAACGTCTACCCCCCTTTGTAGAAATCAGCAAAATTTCTCATAGATTAAGATATAAATCGGTAACCTGAATAATGTTTTCCAGGTAAAATGGTAGAAATAAATAAGGTTCTGTCAGGATGTTAAAAATGTGTGCGAATTTTGTATAGTATTTCACAAAAAAGGACAAAAAGTCGCATATCTAAGCACGAAAGAAAACTTACAATTCTTTATATTTTAGGGATTTATTATTCATGTCATTTCTATTCAGATCAGTCAAAAAATATATATCAATACATGCATCAAATTTTTGTTTCACAGTTTGTGGCACATGTATCCTTAATAAAAAAAAATGTTCTGGTTAACTGTATATATATGTATCAGTACTGTTCATACAGCAATGAATTTAAATAAAGAGATATACGCAGATGAAGGAATTTCATTTATTTTTGGATACTTCCAATTGGCTTTTTTTTTTCTTCTGTGACACGGGACCTCGGCTTTCAAGGTCTTCTTCGAAAGACCCGTCACTCCTAATACAAGCTGCTTTGCTTAAAAAAAAGTCACTACCTATGTTAACGATTTCCCCTACGTTAACTACTTAGAATTGACGCATCGCGAGAATCAAACCCGGGCCTCCTGATCACAAAACGAGAGCCCTACCACAAGGCCAACTTGACCTGTCAACAGTGGAGAAAGAATGGGTTGAGATGCGGGAATACATGGGATATTAACATAAGAAGGAAGTTTCAAATCTATTAATAATTTTAGTCTTAGTATTTAGTGGTCCAAATTTCAACCCCAAAATTCAGGGACTTCTTAAAGTACAATATAGAACTATTACTCAGAGCCGGACACTTTGAATTGTTTAACTTACGAACTATATCACGTGTATTGAGTTTTCTGACTAGTGAAACGTCAGACTAGTGGGTATTTTTTTCCCTAACAAGCTGGCGAAGCTTAAAATTAACAAAAAATAATTTCATTTACTCTACAACGTATTTCATTAAAAATTACACTAGGCCTGTAGTCTCGTTCAACCAGACGCTCGGCTCACAGGCACCTGTTTCTGTAATAAATTTTTTAACCCATAGTATAATAATAACACAAGGTATCCAACTCAGAATTACACGGAGTACCCCCCTCCCTCAGAATCGCACTCATTTACAATTTCAGAGGACATGCACTGGCAAACTGTTAATACCTATGTCTTCTACGATAATTTATCTACACAACCATATATGGCATGCTTGTCTTTATTTTCTTTAGTCTCCGTAAACAGCGTCAAAACTCTGCCCGCCGTGGGAAAAGTCAAATTCAACCATGAAATGGTATGTGCTAATCCCGCACAGAGATTTTGATTGGCTAAAAATCTGTTTCTAAAATTACATCGGATAAACATCGTAATGTTTTCAGGGAAAATCAGACGTAAACAAGTTCTATTTACTCATGCAATATTTAAACACTGGAATTGAATTTTTAAACCCACTCATTTTTTAATTTTGTTCTCTGCACATACCATTTCATGGTTGAATTCGACTTTTCCACACGGCGAGCAGAGTTTTGACGCTGTTTACGGAGACTAAAGAAAATAAAGACAAGCATGCCATATATGGTTGTGTAGATAAATTATCGTAGAAGACATAGGTATAAACAGTTTGCCAGTGCATGTCCTCTGAAATTGTAAATGAGTGCGATTCTGAGGGAGGGGGGTACTCCGTGCAATTCTGAGTTGGATACCTTGTGTTATTATTATACTATGGGTTAAAAAATTTATTACAGAAACAAGTGCCTGTGGCTCGGCTGTCTCCTTAAATTCCAATGTCATGTGACGTCACAGTCTAGACTGTGGGCGAATGTGTTGCGCTTAAACTGGTTCAGGTTTTGGTTTATAGTTTGAAACTAGTTTTCAAACTGGTTTCTAGTTTCAATCCGGTTTGCCTCGGTAAAACAAATGAACAGTTTAGACTTAAAAATGGCGTCTAAAAGGCACAAACATGCCTGTGCTTGCATGATTATTAATTCTGCATTTTTAGAAAATGATAGCAACTTAGAAGATCATGAAGTTGGTCTATTGTCTCAACTCCAAATGCATACTTCAATGTGTTCTGCACTTATGACCCTGATTCCTCAGCGTCGGATCAAAATTCCTCGAGCGCTTAACTATGTTGAGGAGATCATTTCAAAGTATACTGAGGAAGATTTTAGACGAAGGTTTCGAATGAGCCCGGGAACATTTTCATCTCTTTTAACAATTTTCTTAGAATTTAAAGAGAAAACAATTATACCAATGGAAAAACAGTTATTAATTTTCATACGCTATTTGACAACACAAATGACAATCCAAGCTATTGCTGACCAATTCGGAGTATGTGAATATACAGTCTTTGATATTGTAAAGCGCCTCGCAAACATTGTTTGCCGTGAACTTCTGCAGCAATGCATAAAATGGCCAGATGGTGAAAAAGTTTCCAATATTGTTAAAGGGTTTGAAGATTTAAAAAATTTCCCTGCTGTAATTGGTGCCATTGACGGTAGTCACATACCTATAAAAACTCCAAATCATTGTCCAGAAAACTACATTAATCGAAAGTCATTTCCGTCTGTCATTCTTCAGGCCGTGTGCGATTCAAAAATGCATTTATTAGATGTTAACTGTGGTTGGCCGGGATCTGTGCATGACTCCCGAGTTTTTGAAAATTCAGAATTGTACCAAAGGATTCAGAAAGACCCAGAGGGGATGTTTCCCAACAATACACACCTTTTGGGGGACTCTGCTTATGGGCTTTAAATGTGGATGATGACTCCCTACAGGGACCGTGGAAACCTAACACAAAGTCAGTATCAGTACAACTATATTCACAGCAGTACTAGGATGGTAATTGAACGCACTTTTGGGGCCATAAAAGGAAGATTTCGCCTCTTGAAATTTGTAGACATTCAGGACGTTGAAAAAATTGTAAAAGTAGTGATTAGTTACTGTGTATTGCATGAATTTTGTCTACAGCATGATGATGATTGTGTAGAGTATATAGAGGAGGGAGGAGAGGATGAAGTCAACAACTTTGTGCAAATTTTATGTGTAAATAATGCTGCAGGAGAAAAGAGAGATAATATTGCAAGAATGTTATAATATTTTTCCTGTTCATATGAAACATAGGCACCTTGTTATGAACAGAAAAACATATCTAAATTACACATGCATGAGAAACTGAAACTCCTTTCTTAATAAAGAATCCAAAAAAAGTTTATTTGTTCATTGTTAATCTTACTTAAAATGTAGTATTTATATTAATGCATCAAATATTCATCAATGATCAAATTCTGAATATTTTTTTTCAACACAGTGGAAAGATAAAAACTCAGGTATATTAAATTTTATTGTAACATAAAAAATAACAAATCAAAGACAGAGGATACCTTCCTCAAAATAATGCGGTCTTGAAGCTAGTGTTCCCCTTCTATTATAATCAAAGGCTTATATAAATAATTTTACAAAACATTCTGATACATGTATACTGTATACATCATGATTTATGAATGGATGACTACTAGTAATCACATTGTAATAAAACAATTGGATATATCATAGGTCCACACAGGTAAGTGTACTTTAGATTTCCATTATTCAAACAAACTTTACAGTATGTTTAATAGTTTACCTTACGATATATGTTAACTGTTTTTCTAATGATTCTAAAACTAATAACCAAATTAACCAAAACTCATTTTTGAAAAGAAAACTTTTAATATTTTGATTTCTGACCACTATTATGAACAAATTCAAATTATTTACCTATTCTCTAAAGCCTTATACAATACATGCATCAAACAGTGAATTAAAGGCCAAAGAATTATTTGTCCTTGAAGAACGAAACAATTTTCAAATATTTAAATTTTTTTAAAAATAGTCTCCATACTTTTCATTTTCAAATTTAAGAAAAAAGCTTTCTTTATGATAATCATCTGGGTTCTATAGAAGATAATAAATATCTAAATGAAAAGAAAGTCAACAGTGACAATAGCCAAGACCAGACAAACTTCATAGTAAAAGCTTACTTGTGTCTTTACCTAATATACCACAATAGGAATTTCAACAATGAAATAATCTTATCTGATAATAACAAGGCATGAAAAATTGAATAATGGTCATAGCTCAGACTATACATTCTCCTGTCAACTACAACCAGTCTGCTAACTTGCCAGAAATTACCATTAAGTAATCTTTCTTACACTAAAAGATAACATAATAGTAACTACTGTTACTATTTTTTCATGGCTTCTACCAACTGAGCCATTATTTCAAGTTTTTTTTCTTCATTTTCCATTTTCTTCTGATGTTGTTCCTTCAGTGTCTTCATCATCTCCTTGTGTTCTTTTCTCATGTCATCCAAGATTTCTACTATTTCACTTGCCTGCTTACTCTTCTTTCTTTTGGGGGTCACATCAAATTCATTTGAAGTTGACTCTGCCTTTGATTCTTCGTTATCGGTTTCATCCTCCTTGCGTGTTCCTAGAGTTAATACAGGTTTAACATTCGGTTTATACCCATAACAATCTTGTAGTTCTTTATAAAACGGACATTCTTTCCGTTCATTGCCTGATTTTGAGTTGTGATCAATGCAATCTCTATACGCTTTTGTAAGATTTTTCCATTTCTGTTCACATTTATTCACTGTGAAAGAGAAACCCCTGTTGTGCATTTCAGAACAAATTATCTTCCAAAATTCCTTCTTTTTCATAGAGGGTTTTGTGAATTTCGCAGAATGCATGGTGTGTAATTCTATTAGATGACTGGTTGCAACTTTAGACCATGATGAATTATTGCTGATACTTGATGAATTATTGCTGGTAGTTGATGAATTATTGCTGGTAGTTGATGAATTATTGCTGGTACTTGATGAATTATTGCTGGTACTTGGTACATCAGACCATGATGAATTATTGCTGGTACTTGGTACATCAGACCATGATGAATTATTGCTGGTACTTGGTACATCTGTTTTACTTTCATCTGCAAATAATTTGGAAAAAAATCATGACTGGTGAATTATGTACATATTCTGTTCAAAGCAAATTAAGTAGAATTCAAGCATGGGGATAGCAAATATTATCAGGGGCTTGTCATAAATGGGTAAATATACAATGTACAAACTCAGCATTTTATAATGTTTCACTTTGAATTAAAAATATAGATATATAATTAGAGATATAAATTTGTACCAGTTGTTTCAGTGCTTTCATTGGCCTGAGAGTATCTTGAAGATTTGCAGCATATAACTTCGTCGAATCTACACCAATCAGTAAGGAGATTGACCACCCATGGTTTTGTATTTTGTATAAATTCTTTTCCAAAAACAGACAAATTTTCTTTAACTTTCGGGTAAATTGGTTTGGTTTTGTTGAAAACCATAACTGTCTTATCATCATTCCCTTGGTCTTTCTCTCTAAAGTTATTGGCTTCAGTTTCATTTTCAAACACATATGTGTTAAGAAATTCATCTGAAATTAACGTATGATATTTTTTTGGCACCAACTCTTTCACTTGAACTACATTGTTGTTGGTAGAGCCTATGAAAAAGGTATATAATAATAGTAAACCAAATATAAATGATACTGCTCAAATCGATGAATCTTTGTGAGAAATGTTCAGAAATTTAAAATTAAAAACTAAAATTCTCTGTCAGTAAAAAAAAATTGTCAACGTAAAGATATATTTGTTGACAGACCATATCACTATAAGTATATATTACTGTTTATCAGTAATACTGTAATTAGAATTTCCTCTATCCCATACAAATGCTGGTTTCTTTGGATTTTATGACTGAAAGATGTTTTATTAACAAGAAAATCCTTTTGTTACATTCAAATAAAATAAATGCAGAATCAATTATCTTACAAAATGTTTTTCAAACTCCGGAATTACTTCCGTTTCAAAAGCGCAGACAGCACATTTCAGCACTATTGCAGACGCTATCGCCATGCTGGAAAAGCTTCCCGCTATTTCGTAAACCGAATAAACCACCATCGGAGGTGGTTTGGTTGGTTCAAGGAATTGGTTTCGGTTACAGCAAAAACAAATGGAAAACCGGTTCTGGGTTGAAACTAGTTTAAAACCAGTTTGAGGAACAAATGAACGGTTAACCAAACTGGTTCGAAACTAAAACCAGTTTTTGAGAAACAAATTCGCCCTGTGTCTCTTGCAGTTTGGGAGTTTGAAGAGGCGGATCAAAGTTTACAAGTGTAAGCCGTGTAAATCTTTTGATGGTACAACTGCTCTCGTCCCAACAGTCACACCGTAAAACATATTAATTTTGATATTAAGATCTATGATTAAAACCCACCTCTGAAAGTTCACAGGTGTGCGTGCTGTTGCTTTGTTGTGCGTGTTTTGCATCTTTAATGTTCTTAAATGTTTCAATTTATTTCACGTTGTTTACCTTACGTCCACTTGCATGTTTGACATGGAGTAATCAGTTCGCATTGGTATTTAATTTATTCTTAAAGTAGTAAAACACTGAAACAGTTTACATACAAGTCAAGTAGTGAAGTACTTCCAATTCTCGTAACGTGTATATCGGATATCGGTAGAGGCACAGATCATCGGTAGATATAATCATTCCGAATTCAAGTGCTATATTTCAGAATTTAAACTTTGAAAAAAAAAAAGAAAAAAAAATTTCTTTAATTTCACAGCAAAACTCAAGTGGAATTCATCACAATTTGACATTAAACATACAGTACGTAGCGTCCGTATATAACACTTAAAAAGTATAAATACATTCCGGAATTTTCAAGCCTCCATTTATTTTACGTTACGAGTGACGTCACTGGAAAAAAGTCTGACGTCTGCAAGTGTCTGGAGCAAGGCAAAGATAACGGTGAGGAATACTGAAAACATAACATCAAGAGTTATTTAATTACTTTATATTTCAGACTGTACTGCATGTAAACTAACGGGTGTGTTTCTTTTATTTCAATGTATAACACAATGTAGACTTAGTTTACCAAATAAGTAAGAAAATATTGACGAAGTCAATTATCTTGGTCAGCATCCCAGGCCAGGTGTGAAGCAACACCAGCACATTATATCAAAATGCAGGTTAGGTTTAAATCTTATTGTTATAACAAGTATATTTATTGTAAATATTTTTTTAGCCTACGTACCAATAAGATGCAAATAAAAGCTTTGATGGAAAAGTTCCATCCACCCCATGTATTTCTTTATAGAACATGTAGAGGAAATTAATATCTTTTAGAACAAGTTTTGTTTTCTGAGTTCACTGACACTACATGTACTTCTATTTTAAATTTGTCATGTAGAGAATTATAAGGTAGATACACGAGGATAGTGAAAAGACTAGTTTAAAAGATCAAGGTTATTAATATTAAATAAAACTGTAGTTATTCGACACTATATTTATAACCCCCCCCCCTCTCGCAAACAAAGTTTGGGGGGGGGGTGTATAGGAATCAACTTGTCCGTCTGTTCGTTAATCTGTGTGTCTATGCAAACATGTCTGGTCTATATATTTCTTACGGAGGAATATTAGAATCACACAACTCACACAAAGGTTATTCATGACCTGAGGGTGTGTCTTGATCCTGACCAAAGGTCATTTGGGCAAGTTCAAGGTCACTGAAAGAAAAAAGTTCATAATTCGTTCCTGATCCATATCTTTCTTATGAAAAAAACTTGGTGAGTTCCCATTTTACACAAATATTACTTATGACCTGAGGGTGTGGCATGACCTTGACCCAAGGTCATTTGGGCAAGTTGAAGGTCACTGA